TGGAAGTTGCTATGGACAATGGGAGTAAGGTAACTTAACCTCCCTAGGGAAAAAAGCGATTTCAAGTTATAAATGCATATTTTTTGAACAAATAAATAGAAATATATTATGAACATTACATTTTACTAATTATTCTGAATGAAGGTATTTATAGTAATTGTACAGTTATTACATTTAGGAACATTTATAAAATCTGGATAATTATTCCCCTCGCGTTTACTAATTGTCACATTTCAGTCATGGGAGGCTTAATATTATTTGAATATTAAAACATCATGATGCAACGTATTACTAGAACCTGGAGTTGAAGTGTCATTGTAAAGAATCCTGTTGGCTATTTCATTTTTGTTACTTAAACTGTCAGCAATACAACTTTCTGCAATTGTGGCTGATATCCACCCACCATATCTCTTGATTGCTAATACATCAACTTCTGTATTAGCCAGTAACGTTGCCGATGTTCTTNGAATCTGTGAGCAATGTCATCAATTAGACAGACTCTCTCGTCTTGTATACTTAATGGATTGTGTGTCAGTGGGATATGAACGATAATCAATTGTATAACGATTGAAATATTATATATTTCAGTCAACGCGTATAACTGGTACCATAGGAATCTAGTACTGGTTTACTTTCGATACTACCAAATTACAGTGATGCCACACGGTCGAAATTTTTGTCCCCCAAACTATTTTAAAATCCTCTAAATTCAAACTTCGATCCTGATAAAATTTTCAATCGATTTATAAAGTTTTATTTTGTCATATTCTATTGCCTTTAATAATCTAATAAATTGTCTTACCTGCATATTTTTTTTTCATACGTAAATTTGAAATAAAAAGGTTCTATTAATTATTTAAAATGGTACATAAAATTTATAAAAAGAAGTTAACTGATCTATTGTTCGATAGAAAACACCCTAAAAATATTTTTCCCCCAAAAAATCCCTTTTGAAATTCCCCTAAATTTGGGGGGAACCCCTAAGTTGGCATCACTGCCAAGTTACTGTTAGTGAGTAACAATCAGAGACAACCTAGTAACATGCTTCGAGCATACTATTGGAGGTAGCATGAGCATGCCTTTGCGAAAAGTGGTCAAGTGTGCAAGAGAGAGAGAGAATATCCCAGTACATGCTGTCTCACTCTAGCATGCACGCGATTGGTTGGAAATGAATGCTCGCGCTCATTGGCTCCCGCAGGGCTCTCATCGTTGAAGCGAAGAATGATACAGCAGATACTCAGATACTGTCTCTCTCTCTCACCCACAGCCACACCGGTCCCAATGGCATGCTACTTCCAGTAGTATATGCTCGAAGGTAACATGTAATTAGTGATGGGAATAATCGAATGAATTAAATAATCGAGAGGTTACCGTTCGAAATAATTTTATAATCGAATGATCATTCGAATGAATAATCGAAAGTTCACTTTGAAAATTTCCGGTCTATCCCAAATCATATGCGAAACATGTTGACGTTAGGTAAATGAATGACTGTCGCGGATTGGGGCATTTCTTCCATATTTCTTCGTTGCCAGTTGAGTGATTCAGCAGCATGTGTTTAAAATGAGTAGTCGCCGCCTAAAGTGGTCCATTTTTTGTGATTTTTTTGAAAAAAAAAAAAATATTATAGAAAACATAATTTGGCATTATTTTCATTCATATGAATTTTTATCCCCGCTAAATAAAGCTCCCATCTAACCCCCCGCGATGCCACTTATAAAATTCCTGCATACCTTTTTTATTGTATGTCGGTGATATTCGATTGTCTCATCTATCCTCTCGGCCGTCTTATCTCGAGATGTTGTAGCTCGTTAGAGCGTTGGAACAATCGAAACATCTGCGCACTCGCTCGAGTAGTGCAGGTATTAGTAACGCTGTGGCCACTGTCATTCGTATCCGAATAATCGAATGATTCTATATGACCACTCGAGATATCTCGAGAGATTTTCATAATCGATATAATCGATAATTTTCATTCGAGTAGTCCCATCACTA